TTGATTCAACCTCTCTCAAAATGATAGCAGTGTCATACTGTGCTTGTACAACTATAGACTTGGCTTTGGGGGATTAGCTTTACTGTAATTTAAACATCTAAAACCATTAGATATTGTGCAAAAATCTTCAGTGAACTAGAACAGACCCTCCTTGTAGGCTTACCATCTGATCACAGACTAGACATACAAAGTTATGTTTTAATTTTTGTAAAGGAATTTGTTGCAACTATATTCTATATTTCATTTTAAAGTGCATGTGGTTTTGTTTTGTTTTGTGAGCCACTTAGAGAACTCCTGTTATAGAGCAGCTGTATAAATGCAGAGGCAGTAATTAAGTAAGCAATCAAGTGAAACATTGGAGCAAAGGGAAGGAAGATAAATGAGGAAGAGTCAATGGGGAGGGGGAAGTGAAAAGATTTCTTAAATGTAAGAAATGGAGGAAGAGAATTGGGTAGCATAATGGTATAAAAAGATTCCAAGGCTATTTAAACCATTTATATACCACTTAACTACAGTTGTTCTCTAAACTGCATTATTCTTCTGTGTCCGATCAAAGATCTGCCTCACTTGACATTCTGCATTCAGCATTCAGTTGGTCCATTACTCTGTGGAAGCCTATCTCAACAAATGGTAATTGGAAGCATACTACCATTTAGGTTCCATTTTCAAGCTATTATAATCAGTATCTATCCTTGATTGATTCAGTCCTTCTTGAAAAGTGGCCTTTGCCGGTGCCATCATAACGTTCTGTGGTGCTTAACTCCGCAAGTTCATAAGGTGAAGTGCTTTCTTTGACTGAAAGGTATTGTCAAAGGCCTACTTCATCAAGTGTGTGGGCCACTGCACATGTTTGATGAAGTAGGGTGTAACTTACGAAAATTCATACTGCAATGAATTGGTTGTTTCTGCCTTAACAAATTACATATTCTGCTGTTCTGGGATTCATAGGGAACATGATCCTGTTACTCTTGTTATTTTGGTAGACCCTGTGTAGTTTTTCTGGTTCTGGAATACCTTTTCTGTGATGCAGCTGCATATAATATTTCAAATATGGGTGCATCACATTTCACATAGAAGTGTCATTAAAGTTTTTTGCTGTTTTATATTCAGTATCTTTCCTAATAGTTTCTGACATTGGCTTTGACTCCTCGCACCTCCATTGCAGCATTCTGAACTGGCATCTTTTGGGTGGCATGCTATGGCCCCAAAATATTCTGTGTAGCTTTAGTAGGGGCACTTCTCAGGGATTCCCCAATTTCAGACCACGTGTGTTTTTCCCCTCAGTAATAATATTAGGCTGAAACATTTAAGTAACTTCCACAAATACTGTTAAAATATATCCTTTTGTTTTAGTAGTTTGATCTTGAACATACTTAAGAGTGAGTTTGAATCTTAACTATGAATCTTGCTTCCCTGCTGCCAAAACACCCCAAATTGCATGTCTGAGCTTCAGCCGAGTAAATAAGTACTGGTGCAGCAGGAAGGTAAATGGTGTTTTCATGCACTCTGGCACTCATCATGGTGTCTCGTTGCACCAGAAGCAGTTTAGTCATGCTGGCCACATGACCCAGAAAAGCTGTGTGCGGACAAACGCCGGCTCCCTTGGCCTGAAGTGAGATGAGTGCTGCATCCTATAGTCAAGTTTGACTGGACTTAACCATCCAGGGGACTTTTACCTTTTTACCTTTTACATGAGTTGCATCCACCATTTTGTCGTTCGAGTTGGGATACAGCCTTTTGGAGATCCTTTGTTGTGTAGGATTTAGCTCCCTGAATATGTGGGTGTCAGTCTGCAAACCTACTTGCCCCTTTATCCATCCCTATACATATTGCTTATGTGTGGAATTCTATAGCATTAGTGAACAGAACCGGTTTTGTTTCTATGTTCCCAGGTAGATTTTGACGGAGGTTGTAGTATTCTGCTTTGCCACTAGGTGTCAGGGTACGCATATCATTTCCAAATGTGTATATCAAGGAACTCTACTTAAGTTAGTGGGTGGAGAAGACTCACATTAAATTATGACATGGGCAGGGCTGGGTTTTTCTCTCTTTTGCTTTTGTGTGTGCTTTTGTCATAGCTGGCAATGTTTCCATTTTTTAAAGGGAAGTTCCCTTATTCCGAATAGGATTCCTCACAAGAAAAGGGGAAAGTTGACAGCTATGGCTTTTGTGCTGCGGCAACATTGGAGATTATTTCTGATTCATGGATGTCAAACCACATTTGTAGAAGCCAATACAGTTGTTTTAGAGATGCTAGCCCAGGGGGGATGGGAACACACCAAACATTTCTACATGTCACGAACTGTAAGTTTTCTAGGCACCTAGGTGCTGTATGAACCCAGTGTTTTTCCAACACGCAAAGCATTAGTACATAAAGTCGTTCATTTGGCTTGTAATCTACTTTCAATCTCTTTTATGTCGGGGAAAGCTTAGATTGGCATGCTACAATTTAACTGGAGGTTCCAAGATCAGAGACTTTACAGTATAAATTAAGAAACTTCCCTGATTTGTAGAATACATTACAGTGGAACATAACGTTATAAACTTTTTGCGCTCAAGTATCACTTTCAGGGAAAGATGCTGTAACTGTTTTCAAGGACATATTGTTAGTTTCAGGTAAAAAACAAAGAAGTTTCTTCCTTTGCTGAAATGTAGATGAAAATATATTTAACAATGCGGAAAAAATACAGCCTTTCTGTAGTGAATATTGAGTGCAGAGCAGAGCAGCCTTTTAAACCAAACACCCCAGGAGTTCATTTCTTTCCATGTTAGCTTTCAGAACCTTCTTCTTTTTTAAAAGATAGAAGTTACCTGGCCAGTAATAAGTAATAATAAATAACTTCCTTCAGCAACCTGTTTGATAACACAACTGTGAACATATTTTGGGTTTTACTGCATTTTATTATTTGTGCTACAAAACTGCACAAAGAAAGATGGGCTAGAAATATATATATATATATATATATATATATATATATATATATATATATATATATATATATATCTCTTCTGATTATAACTCTTACTTGGTGTCTCTTTGGAAGGCCAGGTCAATCTGTGTTAGACTGCATAATATTTATTTTTTTAAAATTTATATACCACCCTTAATCCAAAGATCTCAGAGTGGTTCACAGAATCTCCTTGTTTTAAATGTCTGAGAGAGCAGAGCCAAATGACTTTGGTCTCTCTCCTTTGATGGTTGTTTTTTCCCCTCCTGTCTTCCTCAAGATCTTTCCTGATTTTTTCTGGTACGGGTGTGTATTTTCAGCTTTTCTTTGGGATAAACAGAACCTGTTTCTTCAGTCTTGCCTCATGTGTATGGTGTTTATAAACCTTTAGTCATCTCTGCTTTCTTCAAAAACTTCTCCAGTTTCTCTGCATTCTTCTTAAAATCTAAAAGAAAACAAATCTTCAGCTGCCACCCGGTTCATGCCCAGTAGGTGTGTTGTTCAGTAGCTTTGTATCACTGAAAGCTTAGAAATAGATTTTGTGTAAGCAACTCCAGTGTTCAGAGAGGAAGCCGACTGTGTCCTTAGCCAGTGACCAAAGGAACAAGGATAATTGCCCCCCCCTCCATGGCAGTGGGCAAACTGGCCTGGCCCTCATCATTGACCAAAGGAGGAACATCTAAAGAAAATATACCTTCGTGTTCTCTTCTTGCCAGCCAGAACTGTGTCTGCTCCAACTGATGGTTGTCTTGGGAGCGCAGAATAAAGTGAAAGGGGACACTGGCCTTTGTCATCAGCTGGGCTGCCAGGTACCTGGCCATCTCTGTTCAGGCAAGAAAAGTGAGGGAAGGTCACTGCCCCAGCTGAATAGAAATGTCTGTTTGTTTGTTTGTTTGTTTGTTTGTTTGTTTGTTTATTATACCCCCACCAATCTGGCTGGGTTTCCCTAGCCACTCTGGTTGGCTCCCAATAGAAGACTAAAAACAGAATAAAACTTCAAACATTAAAAGCTTCCCTAAACAGGGCTGCCTTCAGATGTCTTCTAAAAGTCAAATAGTAGTTTCTTTCCTTGACATCTGATGGGAGGGCGTTCCACAGGGAAGGCGCCACTACCGAGAAGGCCCTCTGCCTGGTTCCCTGTAACCTTACTTCTCGCAATGAGGGAACCGCCAGAAGGCCCTCGGAGCTGGACCTCAGTGTCTGGGCTGAACGATGGGGGTGGAGATGCTCCTTCAGGTATACAGGACCGAGGCTGTTTAGGGCTTTAAAGGTCAGCACCAACACTTTGAATTGTGCTCGGAAACGTACTGGGAGCCGGTGTCGGACAGTGTTGTATGGTCCCGGCAGCCACACCCAGTCACCAGTCTAGCTGCTGCATTCTGGATTAATTGCAGTTTCCGAGTCACCTTCAAAGGTAGCCCCACGTAGAGCACATTGCAGTAGTCCAAGCGGGAGATAACCAGAGCATGTACCACTCTGGCGAGACAGTCTACTCACAGCAGCAGTAGTAGCAGCTACTTGCACCGTTACAACTTTCTACCTTGTTCTGGCATTGTTTTTGATCTTTTGCCATTCTCTTTTCCCTCCACACCTTTTTCTTTTGTGTGACTTACCTTTTAGTCTGTAAACCTGAGCATGTGCCTCAGCTTCTTTTTGATTATGAGCTCCTTCGGCAGATAAAAGAGTGGAATAAACATACTGTATAATAAATGGAATTGAAGTGAATGTCATAATTTTTAAAGAATCCATTTAAGAAGAGTGTTATGCCACTTGAGAATTCATTCATGCACTAGAAAGCATGGAATTTTTTTGCTAAGACATCAACATCCACACCCTGTGAGCGGTAAACACGTTCTGAAGTTGGAGCTTTGGAACAAATTATTTGGAAAGGGCAAAGTGACGGTTTTGTAATCTTTGGAAGTGGCCCCATTTCAAATTGTGCTGTGTAGCCTTGTGGCACTTAAGACAAGCTGGTTAATCATAAGAGGGGCTCACAGCTTATTAACTACTAAAGAAGACACCTTGAGTTTTGTTTTTGTATTTTCAATGTAGGTTTGTAAGCGAATGGACTTGGTCTGCCAGAGAATGCTGAATCAGGGATTTCTGAAAGTGGAAAGATACCACAACTTGTGCCAGAAACAGGTTAAAGCACAGCTCCCAAGGTATGTGCTTACCACAAGGTCACAAGTAATACTCCTTAAAAATCTGTATTTGCAAGAAGATTATATAAGGAAAGCTGCTTTGCAACCGGTTGTGAAACAAATATTTAAAGAATATATCCTGCTTGTGCCTGATGGATTTGTGACAGTAGTCAAGGTTCTGAATATAGCATGAAGAATGAGCTACCAGTCCTGTTTGTGCACCTTAGCACTGCAGCAGAACAATCTGTACCTTGAATTATTTTCTGTTTGGGTTGACTTTCCCCCCTCTGCTTGGCCCTAGGCTCTCATTTTGCTTGAGTGTCACTGCCTGTCTTGCCTTTAGAGAAGACAGGCGCTATCAGTGATATCCTATAGTAATACTGTAAGCCATCTTTCACCATCCTGGGACCCTCCAGATGTTTTGAAGTATAATTACCTGACCTTTGGCCGTACTGGCAAAGACTGCTTGGGAGTTGTAGTCAAAACATCTCGCGGGCATCGTGTTAGTTACCCCTGCTGTAGGTCAGTGGGATTACAAATTGCATGGCACACACTGGAATAGGATAGTGAGTTTTGTTTGCATATACCAACTGGCCACTGAAGGGTGTGTGTGTGTGTGTAAATTTAAAAAATAATAGAGAGCAGGGCTACATCTGGGAATTGAAAAGCCCCTGTATAGAAGACTGTGCCTCCCACATCGCTTTATATCCTGGTTTATGTACGGTACTTAATGCAGGTTATCATTCTGTATGCTGGTTTTTTGGCTTCTCAGCACTGCCAGAGGTAGAACTGATTTTAAACGGAGGCACTTACAGAGAAATGTTGAAGCGCTAGCTTCTCAAATGTACAACTTGAGGCCCTTCTATGGAAGCCACAGCCATTTAAGGTCAAGGAAATCACCTCCCAAGTTCAGCGTTTCCTGAATGGTAACACCTTCTATATGGTACTCTCTCTCCCCAGGAAAACTCCAGCTCAACTCCCATAGCATTCAAAAAGCTGGTTAAAATCTCTTGTTTTGCAGGGCTCTCAGGTTGGTAAACAACTTTGAGTTCTTTACTGTCTTATCTCTGTGCTTTATTCATATACAATGCCTAGCATTTTTTAGTACATTTGTAAGCTGCCTTGAGGGTCCCATTTGGGATCAGAAAGTTAGAACTGCTGTGGGGAACCTCCAGTCTGTGGGCCTAATTAGGTGTGCCAAACCTCCCGCTTTGACCTGCAAGGCTATTTTAGCCAAGCCACATCCACTTGCCCTACACTCGACATCACATATTACTGTAAAACATGGCTGAGTTGAACATGTCTTTGCAGGCTTTCACTGATCAGCTGATTGGCAGCACCCGCAAAGCATTGTGCATGGGGCTTCCCAAGATCAGCTGATCAGTCAGTGCTTTGTGGGCTGTGCCCTTACCTGTGCTTTTTGATTTCAAGCCATGTGGGCAAAAATGGGTCTCATAATGTCAGGCGATGTCCCGTCCAACTGCCAAATTTGGCTCGGAGAGAGAAACAATCAAACCCTAACCCATGGGTAGGCAAACTAAGGCCCGTGGGCCGGATCAGACCCAATTGCCTTCTGGATCTGGCCCGCGGATGGTCTGGGAATCGCTGTGTGGATCGCCAGCGTGCACATTATTTCCCTCTCCCTCCCTTGGCGCCTCCTCCCTCCCTCCTCATGGCTTGTCTCCGCCCTGTCTAGAGGAGGAAGGGGGCTGGGCTTTGTTGGTGCCAGCAGCAGCAGTGCTTGAGCAGCCGCCATTTTAAGCAGCCCCTCTCCGGAGCCTCCTGCCCCTGCTGCTCTCAAGACACAGGTAAGCAGCCACCAGGGTTCGTGGTGCTCTTGCATCATTCCCCCCCCCAATATATTCTGGCCCCCCACAAGGTCTGAAGGACAGTAGACTGGCCCCCTGCTGAAAACGTTTGCTGACCCCTGCCCTAACCCATCCCTGGGCTATAACATAGGTCTGAAATGGGAGGCTGGAGGGACATTGCTGCTGCCGTGACTGCTGCAAGGTCCATTTCCACATGGCAAAGGGGGCGGAGCCCAGACTCACCCTGAAGAGTTAAAAGAAGCTCCTGGGAGTCTGGGGCTGCCCACTAGGCCAGGTGGAAATGGGCCTTGCAGCGGGGAGTGTGTGGAAAAAAGAGAAGGATATTACTGTTCAATTAAATTAGCAACAGCTTCTGGTATCTTCGCATTAGGTGCTGAACTGATAGCCTAAGCAATGTCACCTGTAACCAGTTCTTATGCTATAGTGTGAAATATCAAACTGCTGTTGGAATTCCTCTTGGACTCATGCATGTGTGGCAATGGTGGTGAGCAAAGGAGGGCTATGAGCAATGTTCTAGCAATGCATTTTCCTCATGTATTTATTTTTAAAGTACTCCATCTACTTTTCAAGGAAACTCAAGGCTCTTTAGTTTCACCCGTGTCTGAAAATTACTTGGAAAATAATACGATAATTGTTGGATCTATATAAAAGCAGATTGAGTCATAAACATTATTATTTTGAACTAGAATGGGAAAAAATGGAACGGCTTCTTAAAGCACACATCATTTTTGGTGACAGAATTTTGTAAACTTCCAGACTATATTGTTCCACCTGTCTGCAGTGTTTCTCACTGTCTTGGATGTGTCTTTGTAGACGGGAATCGGAACGGAGAAATCACTCGCTAGCTCGCCATGCAGACATTCTTGCTGCTGTAGAAACAAGGCTGTCCCTGCTAAATATGACCTTCATGAAGTATGTGGATTCTAACCTCTGCTGCTTTATACCTGGGAAGGTAAAGTCCAAAAGATGGCTGCATTAAAGTGTGATGGAATAAGTCATTAGGGCTAAACTTTGTTTTGACGAGCCACTGATGGAAGTTCAGAACCTTCCGTAGGCTTATCTCAGATGGTTCTTACTAAATGCTGTTCCTTTGTTAATAACAGATTGGCTTAACAACTTATTAGGGCTTTGATCATATGGTATGTAAATGTACTAGCTGAAACCATTTATAAAACATTGATTAAAACGTGAATTGCATTGCTTGTAAATAAAACGGTAAACGACTCATAAGTTGTTCTCAAGATAATTTCAAGTACCTTTCAATTACTTTTAAAATAATTTTAAGTCACTGTAGAAAATAGACATTATTAAAGGATATAATAATAATAATAATAATAATAATAATAATAATAATAATTTTTATTTATACCCCGCCCTCCCCAGTCAAGGCCGGGCTCAGAGCGGCTTACAAGCAATAATAAAAACAAGTTGAATGATTACAACTTAAAAACAAAATTAAAATACAACATTAAAATATTGAAATATTAAAATATTAAAATTTAGCCTCATCGCAGAAGGAGAAGGAAAGGAAAAAAGAAAGGGAGGGAGGGAATCAAATTGGCTCCAAGCCAAAGGCCAGGTGGAACAACTCTGTCTTACAGGCCCTGCGGAAAGAAATCAGATCCTGCAGGGCCCTGGTCTCATGAGGCAGAGCGTTCCACCAGGCCGGAGCCAGAGTTGAAAAGGCCCTGGCTCTGGTTGAAGCCAATCTAACTTCCTTAGGGCCCGGGACCACCATATGCTGCTCTTAGCTTTTGCCAGTCGCCATGTCTCAACTTTTCTCATTTGTTTTAGGTAATTGATGAAATTTATCGTGTGCTAAGGTATGTAAACTCTACCAAAGCTCCTCAGAGAGCCCACGAAGTCCTTCAGGAGTTAAGGGACATTTCATCGATGGCAATGGAATATTTTGATGAGAAGATTGTTCCAATTCTAAAAAGAAAATTGCCTGGATCAGATGTATCGGGACGGCTTATAGCGGCAGCTCCAGGTACCTCATGTATGCTCTGAGTCTTTGTACATTATGCAGCCAGTGGGAAGCTATAGTACTTCCACTTTCTTGTGATTTTTGTCTCCTCTGAATGTTATCATTAAAAAAGGGTGTTCCATTACTATATTAAAACAGAACATAACGTTTTAAAATAGAAACTATTTGAAGGACCCAGAGAACAAGTGAGAAGCATTCTGCTAGTGGAAAGTGTGCTTCCAGCTTCTGTGCATGGAAGGGAGAAGGATGATAATTTCCCCCACCCCAACTCTATATTCCCCACAAATCTGCTCTGCTTCCTTTCGAATAGGGTGGGAAGTCCTATTCCTAGGACTCTTCTCAGGATTGAAGGCCCTTCTGTGAACAGAGGTGTCCTTTGGATCCAATCCAATGGCTTCTAAAAGGAAGAACCTTCATTCTTTGGTTATCTTGCTTATATTCATGTCTTTTGTACTACTGAAAGTAACTTCATATTGATGTATGCACGGCTGGAAGACCAGACTGGTTCTGCCAGTGAGCCTGCACCACTGTATCCTCACTGCCATCATGCTTCATCCCCATTGCATCCCAGTAAGTGTGCTTATATGTGTTGGAAGCTGCCCAGAGTGGCTGGGACAACCCAGCCAGATGGGTTGGGGTGATGATGATGATAATGATGATGATATATTATTTTTATTTTTATTATTGTTGCCTAATTTTTCCTTAACACTGCATTAGGAAAAGCAGCACCATGACCTAAATTATGATGGTAATTTACACTTTTTGATTTGGTGGGTGGAGCACAGCTTTCCTGCTCTCCCTTAATGATAGGTTGATACTCCTACAGTGGGAAATTAAATTACTTTCTAGAAGCCACAGAATCCTGTCCTGGTGTGATCGTATGAGTAGGTACCGGTAATTATTTCTTGTGTGCTAATTTTTTTCCTTAAAGCAAAAACGCTAGTGCAGTGTAATGTCTTGTCAAGCTCTGTTTTTTGCTAGTTTATTATCTGGAATTCCAGCTTTGCAATAGAGGCCCTTAGCTCTCATCCTCTTTAGGTTTGGATTTGGGGTTCATAATAGAATCTAATTACTGAATAATGTAAAATTAATATACACAGTGCTTTTTTCTGGGGGTGCTCAAGAGTATGCAGTACTGGTGCACCTCCCTCCCCCATTAAAAGTGTAGCACTTACTGTAACAACTTCATGTTTGAGTACCAGCACTTTTTTTCTATAAAAAAAGCACTGAATATACAATAAAATAGCCTTCCCAGTATATAGTAGCAACAGAACATAATACAAACAGAATAACTGATAATATAGAACTCTTCTAACAATACATCAATAATTAAAATAGAAAAATGTACAGTAGTGTAAATTAATAACAAACTTTTTTTTAACCCCCACGATTCTTACCAAACTAGAGCTGTTAAAATTCTTTAAAGTCTTAGGATAGCCTCACTCACTCTGTACCTGTTCAAAGTCCCTTTTTAATAACCAAATCACACATATTTTTTCACGTAAAATGCCAAGAGATTTTTAGCTATCAAAATAGATATTGAATATAAATCAACTTGGCTTTGCTTCCTCTATATCCTTCCTTCCTTCTGTTCTATACGATATGCTTCCTACAGTCTTCTATTTTGTATACAACTTTGGCCAGTAAAACCAAACTTGAATCCTAAAACAAAGCAGTGTTTACTTTTTGCCCAAATAATTCACTCTTTATACTTAGAGTCAACCTTTAGAGGGCAGCAGCCGTATCTCACTTTCCAGCACTAAATTTTACTTTGCTTATGGGGAGGTCTGGAAGCATGAGGTTAGTTCTTAAGAATGTTATTCAGGTACTTTACTGGAAACAATTACTGCAAGGCTTGGGTAACATTCAATGACATAACAACCATATTGCTGGGGGCTGATTATGTGGGTCCTGATTACTGAAGTGACTGTTTCCCATGAATGCTGATTTCATAAGAGAGACCCATGCAACCAACATCTGTTAACATGGCTTTTTTGTTTACCACAAGGAGCTCCTGAAAGAGTTGTGCTAAAATGTAAAAGGCCTCCAACATACCTGGAGTAATATTTAAGGGCAGAATACAGTGGTACCTCGGGTTACATATGCTTCAGGTTACAGACTCTGCTAACCCAGAAATAGTACCTTGGGTTAAGAACTTTGCTTCAGGATGAGAACAGAAATCGTGCTCCAGCGGCACGGCGGCAGCGGGAGGCCCCATTAGCTAAAGTTGTGCTTCAGGATAAGAACAGTTTCAGGTTAAGAACGGACCTCTGGAATGAATTAAGTATTTAACCCGAGGTACCACTGTATACAGTTGGTAACATAATGTTGAAACAATATTTAAGGGGCGTGCTCACTTGAAGGGCAACCTATTCTGCTTGCTGCAACCCAGAGTAGGAGTGTCTCTAAACAGCACTTTCCTCTTTACCTGTTAAGCAGGAATGTAAAAATCTGTGAATATGCTCAAGTCTTGCACATGCATTAAATTTTGTTTATATGCTGGGGAATAGTTATAGATTTGCTTGTTCACATTCACTTTGCAAACCTTGATGCTCTGTTTTGAAGGCATAAGACTGAGTGCAAGTCAAAATCTGAAATGAGACGGGGGAGAAATGTAAATTTTCTCTTCCTGCAGTTCCAGGTCCTTCTGCAGCCTTAACAACAATGCAGCTCTTCTCCAAACAAAACCCATCGAGGCAGGAGGTCACCAAACTCCAGCAGCAAGTTAAAACCAACGGTGCAGGTGTGACTGTGCTAAGGCGCGAAATATCGGAGCTTCGCACCAAAGTGCAAGAGCAACAGAAGCAGCTGCAAGATCAAGATCAGAAACTGCTTGAGCAAACCCAGATCATAGGTGAGCAGAATGCCCGATTGGCTGAGCTCGAACGTAAACTGCGAGAGGTTATGGAAAGCGCAGTGGGCAATTCCTCAGGGTCAGCACCAAGCGAGGAGACTCCTAGGAAAAGGAAGAAGGCTGTTGAATCAATAGGTGCGCTTAGGAAGTCTAAACGCCTTCGAAATAATAAATAACTTTGGAATAAATGACACCTCCAGGAGGATGTACTGCTTTATAGTAGCCCAAGCAGGTTGTCTGGTCTGGATACTGCTATTCAGAGCATGGTGTCATTTAGGCTGCTGGTTCTTCAGAACACCATAGACTTGAACAACTTTCTCTCATTGCTGAGATGTTTCTTCCCAAACCTGCCCTGCTTCTGTTTGAGTGGGCCTACGGCACAGAATCATTATAACTTGCCATAGATTTGTACTAACCAGACCTGCTCTATCACGTTCTGAAAAGTTAATTTTCCTTTTCTGTGCAGATGACTATTAAAGTGAAACTTATATTTATGCATCTGTTCTGTAAATGAGTATACTAAATAAACCCAGGCTTAATTGGCTAGAAGATTAAAAGTGGATAAACAGCAGATGTTCTCTTCACTTGAAAGAACCACTTTTTGAAAATCTCGTGGGGTTGTTTTTGGTTTTTTTGACGGGGGGAGGTTGACTTTTTTGTTGCAAGTGACCAGGTTTAGAATGTCTGAAAAGTAGCTTATAAATGTGGGAGTCAACATAACAAGTAAAGATGACTTCTGAAGCTTACAGTATTGGCTATATATATTTTTGTAAAACTTAACAGGCAAGGGACTTCAGTTTAGATTTCACAAATGCATACCCTCCTCCTAAGCATTTGGAGCCATATTTTTATCTTTGCATGGAGAGACGCATGCATTGCTTAGTCAGCTTGGTAAAGCATTTGCCTGGAGTTGCAATTAAATAGTTGGCCTCTGTCACCTTTTGTACCGCAATTTCTTGGTTCCTTAGCCATGACTTTGCATTTGCTTTCAGCACAGCTGTTTCTTTTCTTGCGAGGTCATTTTATCTTACTTTTGTCAAGAGTATATAAGCCAGGCTATTTTGCTGCTTCTGCTTGCCTATAGATAGCAGGTACTCTTTTATCTAAAGGTTGATTCCTTTAGCCTGTGAGTTTCTGATTATACACTACTGATGCTAATTCAGCGGTTCAAAGACTATTAAACATTGGATAAAAACGATTTGTTCTTTGTATTACACAGGCTTCCTAAGGCATGGTTCAAATTCTAAAAAGTTTATGTTGAGAGAAAGACCTTACTGTTACATTGAAATAACTGTCTAATACTGTGTTACTTATCATAAAAAGTAAATTGATTTCAGACAAAAAAAGCTTTAATTTCTTTTGCACTCCTTCCATTTTGAATTTGTAACTGGAAACACATGTCTTGCACTGTACAGTCTGGATTTGTCACTTTAACAGCCTCAAAGTTGTAATGTACAGTGAATTTCTCCCCGGCTGTATTTTTTTTTAAGCATCCAACAAGTATTGCTGTCCATGGTTTTTAATTTGCTGTTACCAAACGATGTCACTGTTGCTCGACTGTTACATTTTTCTCTTAATCTGCTGTTGCCGAATGGACATATTTTCACAAGAATGAATTTGAAATGAGAATAGAAAATTGAATTTGAGTGGTAGTTCAAAAGGCCACTCGTAACTTAGACATTTCGCTAAAGTACCTTGGTTTAAAATGGAAGCTGCTTATTCATTTTCATTTGTCAAGTTAAAGATAAAACACAAAGCTTTCCTAAAGACTGTTCTGGGCTTTTTCTTAAATGTTAATCAAAGTCCATTAATTCATAATTTGGAGTAGATTCCCCCCCCCATAAAACAATATATTACAATTTGATGTCAAATTGAGTTTGGAGTTTTGATTTTTTAATTATATTGTTTTTGCTATCTTAAGGCCTTTTTACTGTTTGTGTCCCCGTCCCCCCTTTTAAATGGGAGCAGACTTAGCAGTGGGCATATATTCAACTGTCTCAAGGATAATATATGAATTTTAAAACATTCACTTGAAAGTTTCTTATTTTTGAGGAGCTCTGTTGTACAACATCAGCATGATTGATCATTAGAAATAACTACTGCGGATGCATTCCAGAGTGGGAACACAAATGGTAGTCTTCTCAGCAATTACTGTGCGGTGCAGTTATTTTCTTTCAGTATCGAATCCAGTATCCTTGCTTTGCAATGCCTGAGAAGCAGGATAAATAGGATTCTCTGCATCTGTCTGTGTAGAACCACATAAGTATATAGCACAGTATACAGACATTATGGCATACACATTGCAGTCTGCCCATCTACATGCTAGGCCCTCAACCAGGTATTTTCAGAGTAACACCCTATTCATAAGCTACCCTTTTCTTGTGGCTGAATCCTACACAAACATCTTCAAGAAAGAATCACAATTGTGAAAGTGGTTCATTCCCATGATTATGGCATGGGAAGGAACTTCTGTCATTTGCTTGACCCACATTGGTCGTCTTTACAGATACTACTGAAAGACTATCATGTCAGAAACGCCCCATATTCCTCCAGAAACATATTACTCTTGGGTAACCATAGAAGTATTCTGCAGAGCAACTGTATTTCCTGGTCAGGTTTGTTTATACAGGCGTAGAAAAGCAAAAGCTGCTCTGTTAAATTCTGCTGTCCTCAGTAGTTTGGAAAACTGCTTTGCTAACTGAAGTTAATACCTGCCCCAGGTTTAGAAAGCATCTGTACAATCTCTACCCACAAATTTTACAGCTGTTTTGCAATAACGCCTATCTCTTCAGTGAATGATTGAAAGTATTGTGGAAATGGAAGCTGGAAAAAGCATTCAAATTTCTAGAGTACAATTCTCTCTGCATAAGTTGAGGAGTCATGTAGGTAGTGTAATTTTCCATGTATAAGACTATGTTTTTTGCTATATATTTTTTGGTAAGAAATTTGGGGTCATCTTATACATGGATAGTGAATGCACAGGGGCTTGGGCTCAGGTTTGGACTCAGGCTCTGGCCCACTTTCTTAATTAGATAAACTTTATTTGTATTAGCCAATGGCCATAGCAACATAAAACAAGCAATATATACAATTAAAAAGACAATCAGATGACCAAGATTATCGTTCAGATAGTGGCTGTTAATCTCATTGCACCCTCGATAAACCTCGCAACCTTTGCTGTTGTCTGATCATTTTCATCTGATAAAAGAAAGAACAATGTGGCCGCAGATGGGCGGCCTGGGATGGTAAGTAAGAGTGGGGTGATGATCTCATTCCTCAGATCTTTATAAAGCGGAAACGACAGGAGAACATGAGCCACTGTTTCCAGATTGCAATCTCCACATGGGCAGAGTCGTTTCTCAGTTGGAATCTTTTGGTATCTGCCCTCTAGTACGGCAGAGGGCATCACATCTACTCCGGCCAGTGTGAAGGCACGTCTGTATTTTGGGATAGTTAATTTATACAAATATGGTGCCAGGGAATCAAACTGAGAAGGGGGGGGAGGCATACCAAGGACTTTCTTAATTAAGGGTTCAAAAAAATAGGGGTCGTCTTATACATGGGGGCGCCTTATAGGCAGAAAAAACAGTACTGTTGTACCTTGGAAGCTGAATGGAATGCGTTCCAGAAGTCCGTTTGACTTCCAAGGCATTTTACTTCAAAGATGCCGCTTCCAATTGGCTGCAGGAGCTTCCTGCAGCCAATCGGAAGCTGCGGAAGCCCTGCCAGACGTTCAGCTTCCAAAATAACATTCGCAAACTGGAACACTCACTTCTGGATTTGCGGCGTTTGGGAGCCAGAACTTTCGACTGCTAAGGCGTTCGTCAGCCAAGGTACGACTGTACTTGTTTGCATTTGCATTTTAACTCATGATGATGCAAGGATTTCTGCTTGTGCAACAGAATTCCCCACTTGCACCATGCACCCTCCCCAAATTTGCTCTAGAGAGTTGAGGGAACACCCTAGAAAGTTTAGGGGGCACGTGGGTGGGGGGGAGAACATTCCAATGTGAAAGCAGAAATCTTTGCACTAGCAGATTATTCCCTTACTGCTACTTTGAATGCAGCCCATTGCTGCTAGCTTTTTCAGGAAGCTTACTATCTTGTGATTTAGCCTGGTGGCAAAAGACACACAGCAGTGAGACCAGATAGACTTTCCTGGAAATAATATGCCAGAGGTCTGGTTCTATGATGGAGGAGGCTGTGTCCCTCATGGCTCCTTGCTAGGTTTGTCATTTGAAGCAGTGATGCACACAGCTGGACCTGATGTTCACAGGGAGGAGGAAAATACGGGAGAACCTGATTCTTGATAATACCTTTCAAAGCCCATAGCAGTTTAGAATCAGGGTAAGAATCAGAGCCTTTCAGTGAGATTGCAACTAGACAAGGTAATGAAAATTAGTCCACAATAATATATACTTTGTTCAGCAAAGCCTGCTGCAATAGTCTGAGGGGGGGGTGTGTTTTAAACTGACCACCATTTTTTGACATGCTTCTATGGCAAATGCTGACAACACGAGAGAGAGCAGTACAGTTCAGTGCATATGCAGTGGGCTTTTTAGCATCATAAATATATGGAGTGCCTATATGGATATGTAATAACATTGTAAACACTTCAGAGCACAGACTTTCATTATTGCAATCTAAATTACAGGCAGCAAGTAATCAAAATGTGTTTTCCATATCATGTTACTCTCCCTTCTTTTCCGGAGGAACATGGCCTCCTTCAGTTTCAAACCCAGACAAATGAAATCCCTATTCTTTTAAAAAGATTTTCTACCAAGGTCCTTAGCGATGGTAAAGTAGATGTGGACAACCTTTGGTCACATTTCATGTAGGTGTTGGGAGCCCAAAAGAAGAGGAGGGCAGGAGGGGGGAGGAAACCTGACAATGGAAGGAGATTGAAGAAAAGGACTTGGTTCAGAGTGGCCTGTCCCTCCCCTGGCAATCTGAAGAACAGGGAGGAAGAGGTAAGTGTGTGTGTGTGTGGTGTGTGTGTGTGTGTGTGTGTGTGTGCGTGCGTGCAGAGAGAAAGAGATGTCCTGACCACTGCTGGTATTCAGCCCCTTGCACATTACAGAAAAAGTGTACCCCACCCCAGCCAGTGTGGTGGTGTGGTTAAGAGCGGTAGTCTCCTAATCTGGGGAACTGGGTTCGCTTCCCCACTTCTCCACATGCAGTTGCTGGGTGACCTTGGGCCAGTCACACTTCTCTGAAGTCTCTCAGCCCCACTCACCTCACAGAGTGTTTGTTGTGGGGAGGAAGGGAAAGGAGAATGTTAGCCGCTTTGAGACTCCTTCAGGTAGTGATAAAGCGGGATATCAAATCCAAACTCTTCTTATGCTAGAGATCAAGAGTGAATATGCAATGCATATGTTCAGTATGGATGGCTATTCACAAACATGTCATAAGTTATAGCCAGAGGCCATCAAAGTGGTATGCAAGATAAAAACAGGAGAAAATACTAAACCCAATTTCTAAAAGTAATAACATCATTTCTTGAAAGCAATAAAACCTATAGGTACATGGTATTACATGTGCATGTGAAGTTCACATTTTGCATATTTTCATGAAACTGATGGATGCCAAAAATATTCATAAAGTTAAAACCTAAAATTAGCTATCTGTTATCTGCTTGTAGTAATTCTGTATGATGCTCCTTGTGCGTGTTCTTGTTTGCAGGAAATGCTGCATTGGAAAGATAGGTTGCTTGTAAAAGACAACATCAGTCTGGCTGAGAGAGACTGCATACAAACCATATATTTAAAAAATATTTCCCCACCCCACCCCAAGAATTCTGGGAGCTGTAGTTTGTTAATTGTGCTGGGAATTATAGCTTTGTGAATTCCCAGGATTCTTGGAATTTTAAATGTATGGTGCATACACAGCCTGAAGAAAACAAACACATTCATATGAAAAACCAATAGAAAGAGAAGGGAGGCAGAAAAAATTATAACATGGCATAAAACAAACCACTGGCCTGTGAACAAAGCCGAAGGGATGTGTTTTATACATTTTTGTGCTTTTTAAATACACCCCCACACCATTTACATCATAGATATACATAATCTTGTAAACTAGATGCCAAGGGGGAAAAACAAATTTATTTCAACTTTGTACTGTCTGTTGTGGTCATACTGCCAAATCCAATTCCAAACATCTGTTTGAATTTGACAACCCAGCTCTCTCTTCCCAAATATTTTGATAGGTGTAGACCAGTATATGAGCTTCCTCAATAAACTCTTCTGATTTTCAGTAATTTCAGTAAAAAAAAGATACTGTAAACATATTTTTAGCTTTCATATGGTAGGCAGGCATCGTCTATGGATAAATATTTCTGCTTCTCTTTCATACAGTGGGAATGCTTCTGCTAAGGTGGTATCTGCTGTGACAGATGCACGAATAATGGAAAAACAAAGCATGCTTTCATCTTGAGAACTATTCTTCTACTTGCATTGAAATGTGTGCAGATTTAAGTGATGAAGGCTGGAATGTTAAACATGTTTCATAGAGAGTAAGCCCCACTAAACTTTGAGAGCTTGATCTCTGAGTAAACATGCTTAAAATTGCTTTGGAAAAGTTCCAGTTAATTAACTAAGATGTTTCGAGTCAGGTGACACATTATTCTCGAGAGGCTGTGGCAGTGTATTTAGAGCACTCTGGCCTGGATCAAAAACCCATGAAAGTTATTCCAGTCTGGTGTACGTATTTTAGGTTCTCCCCCGCCAATAGCGTTCCCCCATTCACCAAAGACACTGGTTTTAAACATACATGGAAAAGGTAGGGAATTTCTACTTTTCTACCACTCTTTAAACATCCTGTTCATAAATGCAACAGAACAGGATAAATAAGACATTTTAGTAGATAAAGAC